CTTGGAAGTTGTCCGGTTTAGGGTTAGGGTTAGGGTTAGGGTTGCGTTAGGGTTAGGGTTTGAGTATTGTTCTTCTTCCCCGAGCTGTCTACGCAGGTTAGAGTTAGGGTTCGAGTTCCTTTTCAAAACCGGGACCCTTTCTTACTCCTTTTCTTCACCCGATTTGGGTTTAGGGTTCGATGAACCCTCTGTTTAGATCCAAAAACAGATCTATCACCTCCTTCTAAATGCTGCTATTCGGTTTCCTACTCGGATAGGCTAGATCTACACCTAGTTAGGCGTCTAATACCATTGATAGAAACATTACAGGACCTTACACATAGATCTAGCGGGTACATCTTACTATAACACATGATGAACAAACTCTAGAACATGAACTACGGGATCTAGGTAGAGAAGAAGGGAGAGGGGTAGTGGTCTCTGATCGTCAAAGGGCTTGGCGGAGGAGCTGCTGGAGCCGTCCATGGCGATGGCGGTGGTGCGGTCCAAGTCGATGAAAGCGGTGGCGGTGTAGCAGTGAAGTCCGGTGACGCAGTCCGGTGGCGGCGAGGCAATGGAGCTTCCCGTCACTGGCTGCGCACCCTCTAGATCGGATTAAGGTTTTGTCGGTGGGAACTGTAGCTCGGTCAACCTCGCGAAGAGAGCCGCCGGCCCCCACGTCTCTATATAGCGTAGTGTGACGGGGCCCGGATCCAAGGGCCCAATTGGCCATGATCATCTAACAGTTCATTCTTTCTCGCCGCATTAAAGATGTGTCTGGCATTGACACTGATGATTGGAACTCCTTGAAACTTGAAACTACTCTGAAGGTGATATTTTGCCCTGAAGAAGTTGGTGATTATCACGAGGTAGGTACATCATACTTCTGTAAATGGGTTTTTCCGCCATGGAGGCTTCTGTCATTGAGACTTTCGTCGCTCATGTGCTGAACCGTTTCTTTCAGATGTTTTCAGAAGATGAGCGATCAAAGTTGGTGGATGATGCACATAAATATGCACGTGAGATGGGTAGGAACTCTGCCTTGAAGTCCTTCAAAGAAATGGTCTCTGCCTACGAAGTTAGGAATGAGAAAAAAATATTGTTGAGGAACTTGGTTACGGAGGCTAAGGAGCGAATGAAGTTAAAGATAACTGAAGATCGCTGAAGAGAAGTCGCGGACCCTGGCAGCGTGTGATAATGGCTCAGAAACTTGGTGGCTGAAGAAGATGGATGTGCAGAGATAGCCCAAATTCTGTTGACTAAACTGATCATTCAGGCTGAAAAGTACTTTTCGCTGTTTTATTGTGAAAGAAAAATACTGTACCATAGCTGGTTGATAAGTTCAAGCGAACAGGTGATCATTTGCATACTGTACGTCTGTTTCTTTTATATTTGTTTGGAACATTGCGGCGTTGTATTCGTAGTTTGTCTTGGAACATTGTGCGCTCAGAACATTGTGACTATCAATGCGCGAACTGATCGCCACTCATATTCATGGGAGAAAAAAAAATTGGTCACCTACGCCAACTGCTGCTGCGAGACTATCACGACCAAGTGTTCTGAAGATGGCTTATGCAGGATAGGCTAACTGGCTAAGTACATAGCCAGTTGGTTTGAGTAGATAACATGCACAAAAGAATATGTTTTTTTTAAAAGACAATCACTTTTGCTAAGCCAAAGTGATCGACAAGGAGCGGTCGTCCCTAGCAGAGGTAATGGTTTTAAATAATCTTCCTAACCAAGCACACCAAGCAAGCGAGAAACATTACAAGGTTCAGTTCTAGCCACATGATTAATTGAGCAAACATGGTGGAAGGAGTAAGGGTGTTATTCTTTATAGCTGAGGAAGCATATAATCAATCTAATCTAAGGCAATATTATAACTAAGATAAGAAAGATCAAATGGGCTTTGGGGTTGTTTGGATTCTTTCGAACCATGGAAGCGCCGGGCAGCAGCCAAGGGGGGATGTAACCGCGTGTCCGGACCCCGGCCCTGCCCATGGATTAAATTGGCCCCGGCAAGTGGCCGACTAGCTCAAAAGATTTCCATGGCTGGACCCGGGTCATCCGCGATCTAGTCATCCACCAACTATAGACAAATGATGAAATCAGGTGGCCAATCGTGGCTGGGTTTGGGTTTCACCGGATAAGTCCATTCCAAGTTGCAGGGAAGAAACCACGGAAATGGGAGCCGTTGGGAATAAAGGTCGCCGCCGGCCACGAGGTGTGCAGATGTGAGTGGCTGGCTGCCTCCTCACGCAAACTGCTGCGCTGTCCAGGTCACGCCCGTTGTTGGCAGCGGAAAGAGAGGACCGATCGACGCCGTCTGTCTCCCTCAGATCTCCTAGTTGGAGAGCCACCTGCCGACGGTGCCAGTTGCTCAGTTAGGTGGAGAAAAGAGGCTATAAGCCGACTAAGGGCGTGTTTAGTTCCGAAATTTTTTGGCTTTTGGCTACTGTAGCACTTTTGTTTGTATTTAGCAAAAATTGTTTAATTATGGACTATTTAGGCTTAAAAGATTCGTCACACGATTTCTCGGCTAACTATATAATTAGTTTTTTTTTCGTCTACATTTAGTACTCCATGCATGTGCTGTAAGATTCGATGTGACGGAGAATCTTGAAAAATTTTGGGTTTTTGGTTGCATCTAAACGGGGCCTAAATGTGAGGTGGAGAAAAGAGGAGAGGAGAGAGAAGAGAAACGGGTTGTAAGTTTACAATCGGTTTAAACACAAGAATCAAGAAACCTTGTAAGACAGATATGTAGGCCATGTATTAATCATGAAGACTAGAAAAAAAAACTTTATAGCCATCGACCGACTGTATTATTAACCTTTCTCTTAACAAAGGATGGCAATTGGCGATGCACAAAATAAGAAACTATAACCATGCTATATGTTGCGGGTGGTGACCCTAGTAATAATACTACTACGATAGCAAACGTAGCAAGTAGAATATTTTATATTAAAAAAAGTACGCATGTATATATGTATTATTCAGCACAAAGGAAATAAATCCTAACTTCGCCAAATCGGTCGTTAAGCAACATACCAAACCTGAAACACGCCTAGCTGTGCGTATGGCCAAGGTGAAGAGATATGGGGGGGGCGAACTGATCATAGAACGGTTGCAGTGCCGGGCCTGAATATTCTTGGACCTAGAAGGAAACTAAAATTTTAGATCTTTTTATATAATATGATAATATTACTAGCACTACTTATTTCTAATATATACACACATATACGAAATGTTACTAATGAACTCTTAACTGAATGCAAAAATAATATTTATATGAAACAATTTGTATACATATTTAGGTGCGGGTGGTGGTGAGCGAGGGAAGAATTGGGAGGTAACAAGATTGAGACCTCGCACCGCAAGAGAGCCAGGCCCAAATAAAACTAAGTCCATTTTTGCTTTCTGGGACCCTGGCTCGCGTGGTCCAGGCAAACAAACAAGCCCATTTACACGCCATCGGTCTATCCTTGGCCACGGTCTAGGTAAATAAACATGCTCGTGGTAAATCCTACACAGTTTGACTTGAGGTCCAACTCTTTTAAAAAAGGAAGTGCCCAGCTAGCAGAAAAAATATCAATTAATTAGTGCATGAAATTTAACAATAATTCAAGTGACTGTCTCACCGTATTGCCCTTATATATCAAATCAATTCAAATTATTTTAGAGGACTCAAGCAAGGATGTACCACCTAAAAAGGAGAATAAGCATGTTTTTTCAACACACCAAACCATTTATGCAAAACCAAAGCCATCAACAAGAAAGCTATCGTCCCTAGTAGAACTAAAGGTTTTAAATCCTCCAAACCCCTCGAAGCCAACTCCTAAACATGTATGTTGAACCATGTACGATCTTGGTTGTATGTGGATCGTTTATTGAGTCCCGTCATCGCGTGGTACTTTTACGGAATGTCTACCGAAGTTTTTTGATATTATAAAAAACTCAAGATAACAACGGCGCCAATTTATTAAACCGCTTATCAGATCTTTGTGCACTTATGGCTTATCATGTACTACTTTTATAAATTGATCGGTTCTGCGACATTTAGGACAATGACAGGTGCACGTGGGGTCTCGTTTGAACAGGCCTCCCGGACAGGCTGCCAGAGCCGAAAACCATGGAGGACACGCGTGGCCACGTGGGGTCTCGTTTGACAACGGGCCGGGTGGGAAATGCAGGGGGCAAATCCAGAAGCCGCCCATGGTATTGGCTCCCGCCGTCCCGCCCACAGAGGCAGCGGAAACAGGGGCCGTCGCTGTACGATTTCCACAAAACCGGGAGCCCTCCAATCGCCTGGTCTGGCTCTCCGATACTTTTGGTGGGCGCGGAGGTGGAGGCCACGCGCTCGGCTGTGGGCGCCTCCTTCCCCCGCCCTTTTGGATTCTTGTGCCGCCCGCCATGCCAGACATTTTACATTTGTTCTTAATCTACTCTTTCTTACTTTAACCATAGATATATATAATAATTAATCCATTTGCTTATTATATGATATAAGTATATTTTAATTAAGTTTGCTAGTCAAAGTTGAAAGTTTTAACTTTTCAAATCTATACTAGGTGCACATGTATACCAGAAGAAGAAGTAGCAGTACAAGTATGGTAGTATATACCGGAATAAAGTATCTACCCCCTAGTCGCGGCTTCTTGTCAACTGGAGAGAGAGCACGCGGCGGGGCCCGCGATGACGCTAGCTCCCTAGCAGTCCATCCATCCAAATCCCTGAAATCCACTTCGTCCCGCGGCGCCGAATCCGCCTTTTCCCCTACCTTTCCGAAACCGCAGGCGCCCAAGCCAGCCCACTGCCACTGGCCACTGCTCTCCTCCAGTCTCCGCGCCGCGCTGTGCGCTTATAAAACAGCCCGCCGTCTCCCCCTCCGCCGCGCTCCATCATCGCCCGCATCACGGCACCATTCCAACTCCAACCAACCACCTCGATCACCTACGTCCTCACCTCCAAGTCCCAACCAAGCTCATCATCAGCCCGACGATCACAACAAGACGAGAGGCATGCGGATGAGCTGCAACGGCTGCCGCGTCCTGCGCAAGGGCTGCAGCGACGCGTGCACCATCCGGCCCTGCCTGGGGTGGATCAAGTCCCCCGAGGCGCAGGCCAACGCCACCGTCTTCCTCGCCAAGTTCTACGGCCGGGCGGGGCTGCTCAACCTGCTGGCCGCGCCGCCCGCGGGCCAGGACCACCTCCGCCCCGCCGTGTTCCGCTCCCTGCTCTACGAGGCGTGCGGGCGCATCGTCAACCCGGTCTACGGCTCCGTCGGCCTGCTCTGGTCGGGCCAGTGGCAGGCGTGCCAGGCCGCCGTCGAGGCCGTGCTCAAGGGGGACCCCGTCGTGCAGGTCGACGCCGCGTCCGAGGCCGCCGCGGCACCGCCGCTGCTGCTCGGCGGCCGCAGGTACGACATCCGCCACGTCGCCAGGGATCCCGACGCCGCCTCCGCGGCCGATCTCCTCCTCGTCGCGCGCGGCGGCCGCGGACGCAACCGCAAGCGCGCCTCTTCGTCCTCTACCTCCTCCAAGCCCAGCAGCAGCAAGCGCGTGTCGCCCGGCAATAACAACGATCCTTCCAGGCAAAGGCCAGGACAAGAGGCGGAGGAGGAGCCAGTGCCGGTGCCGATGGTCGTTGAGCACGACCACGGGCACGACGAGGAGTCCGCCGGCAGCCACGACGACGACCACCACCACCTGCAAGCGCAGCAGGGGTCGGAGGACACCGACGTGGAGGCGACGTCCCACTCCCACTCCCACTCCCACGTGAGCCAAGCCGAGCCCGAGCCGCAGAGCCATGCGCCGCCAGTCAGCAGCAGCCAGCAGGCTGATCAGGACGACGAGGAAGAGGAGGTTGGGCTGGAGCTCACGCTCGGGCTGGAGCCGCTCGTCAGGCAGAGGCAGCAGCCCAAGTCTTCGCGCTGCGACCACAGCGGGCTGAGCGCCGCATCGAGCCTCATCTGCCTGCGCCTGCAGCTGCCGGCCTGAGCTCGCCGCATCTCACACCTGAGACTGAGAGACCTGACAACAGTTTTGGGACCCTGCCGTGTCAGGAGACTTCCTAGGTTTCTTTTTTCTTTTTTTTGTAAAGGCTGCTGGACTGCACAGCATCGTCCTAGGATTTTGTTGTTTCTTGCGTCCTGTACCTACTACATGTGATGGTGATGGTGCATGTCTTTAATTTGTTCAAACTTTTTATGTTTGGCTCCGGCTGTCACATATTTTAATGCGTGTAACACCAATAAAAAAACACTGAGATCGTGACTGCACTAATTCATTTAATTTAGATACAAAAAATCAGTTGGGCCATGCACTATCTCATAATATAAAATAACTTTTTTTAATCATAAACGATACTCCAGTTCAGGACATAGTAGTAGAAATTGATATGTCGGAGCAACCATCACATCTTTTTACATCTTCATAGGAATTCCCCTGTAAGTGGGTCAACCAAACCATGCATTCAGGCATACGAAAAGAGATTACAGATTAGGCATCCGATGGATTGCACAGATTGGATCACAGCCCTGTTGAAATACCGTGGGCCTGCTTTTGTTGGAGCCCTTGGAAAGTTGCCTGCCAGATAGCTCTATCCGACCGTAAGCAATCAAAATCGGACGTCAGAGATTGTTGCTTGAGCCAGGCAACTTTCTCAGGGTCTGAACCAAACATTGCTCTGTGTTACCTTCTAGTCCAATTCCATCCATGTAGCATGGCAAGATCTGAATGTGGGAGAGGAGTATAGCAACTGAGTTTTAATACTCCTCCCTCCGTCTAAAAAAGAATATAATTATATGAGATTCGTGCTGGTCAAACTAGTTTAAGTTAGTATTAATATTTATGTCTCCAAATAAATTTATTATGAAAATATATCTTATAACGAATTTAATGATACTTATTTTATATCATAAATGCTAGTACTTTTTTCATATATAAATTATAAAATTTCAGCACCAGATTTCAAACTGCTTCAAAAAATAGAAAACCCTTCAATACGATGTCGGATGAAGATAATTTACATTTGTGGTCTGATGAAGTATGTGCCATTCTTTGAGGAAAAAAAGATGCTCGAAAAAAATGTATAAAATTACCAAAAGTTACTGTTCATCCAACACTAAAGGTTGAAAGTTGAACTTTTCGTTGTCCGGTTTTGTGGTTGAAATCCATACTTTGATGAAAGTTGGAGGGTGTAAATTATACTTTACCCTTAGATATATCATGTTGAAATAGAAAATGCATCTATCAAAAGGGAACCATATGTTTCAAAGATAGACGAATGCGAATAATTGTATGGCATTCCGTCTCAGAAATGCAAAATAATGGAGTCGTATTCCTACAAAACAAATAAACCACCATATGAGGCTGCAGGACAATGCATGGCACAGAACTCTTCCTAGAGACCAACATATATCTGGAATCTTGATATGTTAATTACCTAATAAATACCAACATGTGCTCTGCAAATTTATCATGAAAAGGATATACCAACCACTATATATCCAGAATCTGGACATTGCCATGTTTCATATAGATAACATGATTTTAAAATTATGAAACAAACAGATAGTGTACAGTGTACTTTTATGGATTTAACTGAAGTGAACAGACACCAAGATTGTCTACCCAGATTGTTTATCAATTACATACTTCTAATTTCCTAACTCTAATAGGTCCTAGTCAAGGCAGAGATTATGTAAAGCTATAAAAAATTCCTAACTCTGTACACTCATATTCATACCTGAAGATCTGCAATACTTTAAAGGAGCAACATTTATTCTTATTGCAAACACTGAAGAATAAGATTAAAATAATTTGGTGAACGTTTTTTTTTTTGAGATTCTGCTTGAGCATAACCAAATTATGAACCCATGATGAACCAAATGTATTACAATCTGCTAATCCAAGATAGGAAGCCATCATGACTAATAAATGCTATATCAAATTGGTGTTTCCATCTTGGGTATAAACACTTCCTTGCGGGATTCTGCCTGGGAATATATAAACCAAAGTATAAACCCGTAGTGACTGGTGAATCAAATGTATTTCAATCTATATACTAACTCAGGCTAGGAAGACACCAAGTACTAATAATCTGACATTTATACAGATTTTAGCAGAAAATATGTGATTAATGTTTGATTTTGATGTGCTAACACTTCAATCTATTGTCCAACTATTTGTAACTTCTGAGGTGGTAATATACTAAGGCAGGTACATCTAGAGCTAGATCTCTAGCATGCTACAGCTGCAGGTCTTGAAGGGCGCGTGTGTGTAACTTCTGAGGTGCTACATCTGTTCCCAAAAGAACGTAATTCTAGCACAGTATTATATTTTAGTACCTTAAGTTTAACCAATTATAGATAAAAAAGTATCCATATTTATGATACCAAATAAATACCATCAGATTAATTACGAAATATATTTTCATAATAAATAAATAAATATTCACTAAAAATTTGGTCAAACGTGAACCACTTTTCATGGCACGTAACTCATAATTGCATTCTTTTCAGGACGGAGATAGTAATAAACACTAAGAGCAAGTTTAATAATAGAGCCAAGTACTTAGCTATAAGTCAAGTTACAAGAGACAAGTTATACAATGGTTTGTCTTATATTTGTCTACAAAATTTCTTTATTATTAAATGTTTTCATTCTCTTTCCTATTCCTTCTCACGCACATCTCTATTGGGACCCACTATTGCCTATGCTTCTATGTCCAGCTTGTTGCTTGCATGAGAGTCAAGCTCTCTTCTCTTTTCTACCTTCTTTCTTCCACGTCAGCAAAAAATATTGATTAGCTTGGCTATAAGCCAATTGTTGTACTCGCTCTAAGACAGCTACTTACACGGTTTAACCATTGGGGAATAGTTTATGTACTTTATGCAAAACGAACTTTAGGCTTTATTTTTCTGAATAGCCGTGCACATCAACCAAAGTGAAATTCTACTACACTCGGAGATCGAGATAGCAACCCAGAAGAGCTGGATTGCAAACTTGTAATGAAAAAGATGTTCCGTAAAGCATGACATGCAAACAACTGAATAAAAAGTAATGAATAAAAAGAAGAAATAGATAAAAAAAATTATGCAGTAATACTGAGAAAAGATAGATGATAACAAGCCATAAAACAGTTGACTGAAAGTGGAGCCGCCCACTGCACGGAGCGGAACTTGAGGAGTTGCTACAGGCGGCCCATGCGGCCCAGCCCATCTGCTCGATGAGACACGGCGCCGACGGCCGGCCTCGCTACATTTTCCAAGAGAGACATGCCAGCACCGTGGTGAAGAGCAAAGGGAGGAGGACGACTCGACCATGAGGCCGTGCCAAAAGAACCATACTATGGCCCACCTACAGATGGCATGATTCAAGTTTCAGCTCTATTTTTGATAGATGATGTTGCGACAACCGCCCACAAAAATTGAATCTGATCATCACTAAAAATGTTTTTTTACCAAACACTAAAAATGTTTTTTTACTATCACCCTCTCTCTCAAATTATAGATCAAGTTATGTATCCAGAAAAACCGAAACGACTTGTAAACAAACCCAATGGAGTAGTATCTAAAAATAAGTTACCAAATGTAGTTTCTTAAGATACCCGCCTATGGAAATGGCCGTTCACGTTTCTATGCAAATCCAGTGCAACTGTCTCTAAAAATATTTCTTTGAACTAGTTTGAGGTTGTTGGAATATAAATGAATTGTTCATCTCTTCTCAGCAGCTTAAGCTAGGTCTTCAAGCTTTGCTTTACTCTTTATGCATGCAGCTATAAAAATATGTCCTGAGATGCAGTGACTGAGCGATTGATTTCCTTTCGTGCAGCCCAGTGGTTTTGGCTTTAATTATGCCTTAAGTGAAAGCTAACTGCAAACCACTAATCCATCGCCCAAGATAACACCGAGATTTAAGCCTGCTAAATACATAACTGCACTCCACCCTTTCTGAAACGTACGAAAATGATAGGGACAGTGAGATGTCATCATTTTGCACCTCAATCAGGCAGCGCATGTCCTCTGTGTGTGTGAAGCTACTGGTATTTGCCTGCGCACTACTATCATTATGGTGTTACAAATTTAAGACATGCAAAAAAAAATGCACATACAGTCCTCGGAGTCAGGAAATGTGGATTATTCCTCTCGCCCAAAGAGCAAGACTTCCAAATGCCAATAGATTGGACAAAAACTCCTCCTTTAGGGCATGTTCAGTTCCTGGGGAACCATATGGTCTAGAACCTTTCGACCAGGAACACTTATCTAATTTATATTCTATAGACAGCTCTCAACGAAGAATTATTCCTACCCGGAATGACCCTAAACGAATGAGCTCTTATTTATTTTTTGTTGATTTCTATGTGTTTATAGATTTTTACCTTTTTTTTTTGACGAGGGACAGTTGTATCATCCTCGTAAGGCAACCACGATGTTAAAGAAAAGATAACCTTAAACATTTAATGCTATAATAACAATGATACATCTTAGCCATTGTGGCAATGCACCCCAAGCAAAGATTTTCTATCTTCAACCATTAGAGAGGCTAGCTAGGAAAGAATATTTTTTACCCTGTAGTGGGAACACCTTATCTCCTACCAACGACGACCTAACCATTGTGTACATACTACTTGACTACACCTCAACCAAGTTTGGTACTGATACCTGCCTTTGCAGTCACACCTCGCACACCTCATACTTCCACGCAACGCAGCTCATCACGTCCCCGCGCCCAGGACAAATGGCCAGGAACTGCCAGGTTATCACACATGTACCGTTAAACTGACAGACAAAAGCGCGCACATCGTCAGCCTGCCATGGCATATTATAAGTTAACAAATAGTATTTTCTCTCTCACCAAACCAGCCAAAAGTCAAATCAGTCATGACTTATAAGTCAAATCAGTCCAAACGAACAGGGCGCATATAGCAGGTAACCATAAGACTGTTCGCTGGTTGATTTTTGGACTGATAAGTCTGACTGGTGCTAGTTTATTAT